AGGGTTTAGGCTTTCGGGTTTAAGGTTTAGGGTTTAGGGTTCAGGGTTTGGGGTTCTATCCCAGCGCCAGCCCCAGAGAGTCTTAACCCAAATCCCGAAGTCCCTAACGTAACACTTAAAACAGGCAGATTGAAGCCGGGTTTAGGGTTAAGACTAAGGTTCTTGCGTGGGCCCTCAAAGTAAACATGCGAATCCGCGAGGGGGAACTTGAGGGGCTTAGGTGGGCAAAACCCTGCGTTCAACCCTAAACCCTGATCTCTGGGAAATTTGCGGGTTTAGGGTTCAGGGTTGAGGATGTTTCTTTTTGTTTCGGGGGATTGCGGAGGGGAGTGCTGTGTGGAGGGTGCTGTGTGGGAGGATGCTGTGCAGGGGGTGCCGTGTTGTGGGGGTGCTGTCAGGTCCTGACAGCGGAGACCGAGTCTTGCCGTCTGGCTCTGCAGCTCAAGTCGTCGCCCCAGTGTCCTCGGTTTTGTTTTTTGGGTTCAGGGTTTGGGTGTAGGATGTTTAAGGCTTCGGGTTTAAGGTGAGTACCTCGCAAAACTGGCTGTTGAAAGGTGCGAAACTCACCAGGAGTTACCCTAAACCCTAAACCCTAAACCCAGTTGTAAATCCCAAAACCCGTAGCCCAGAACCCGAAACCCGAACCCTAAGGCCCTAAAGCCCCCCAGTGCAAGGTGGCGACTTTAAGTTTAGGGTTTAGGGTTTAGGGTTTAAGGTTTAGGGTTTTTAGGGACTTTGGGGACTTTAGGGACTTTCGGGGCTTTAGGGACTTTAGGGACTTTACGCCTGGCTGTGTGGGGTTGGGGCCCTTTCGGCATGATGCCTTCGGAGCCCTCAAAGTTATGAAGCCCCAAAAGCCACAAGCCACACCTCCCTCTCCCAAATACCTATAAATTCACTCTTTCAGCAACCGAACTCAACGAACAGAGAGCCATGCACACAAAAGCGAATTTCAGCTTCTCACCAGGGCGCGCATGCTCACCCTCGGCTTCAGTCCTCTCTCCATGGCCTTCTTCTACACAGGCCGCTGGTGTGCCAAACTGCTTGGGTTGCCGTGTTCTTTTGACCTGCTGGCTTGAATTGCATCGTCGATTTGTTGGAGGGGGCGGAGGAGGGGGAGGGAGGAGGGGGGAGGGAGGAGGGAGGAGGGAGGGGGGGAGGGAGGAGGGGGAGGGAGGAGGAGGGAGGGAGGAGGGGGGGGGGGGGACATGCGAGGTTTTAGGGATTAGGGGGGGTGTTTTCAGCTTAAACAGGTAAAGGCTCAAGATTCTCTTGCCGTTTGCCCAAAGACTAAGAGGTATCATGCACAGACTTTAGACGTGTACTTGGAGTCCTAGGGAACCCTAAACCCTGAACCCTAATTAAACCCTACATAAACCCTAACTAAACCCTAAATCCTAAATCCGAAAGCCAAAACCCTAAACCCTAAACCCTAAAAACTAAAAACCCTAAACCCGAAACCCTAAAGACCCTAAAAACCCTACAACCCTAAAACCCTAAAAACCCTAAAAACCCCAAAAACCCTAAAAACCCTAAAAACCCTAACAACCCTAAAAACCCTAAAAACCCTAAAAACCCTAATAACCCTAAAAACCCTAAAAACCCTAAAAACCCTAAAAACCCTAAAAACCCTAAAAACCCTAAACCCTAAACCCCAAACCAGGCCTCTGCGGTGAGGCCATGCGCGACTGCTGCTTCACAGCGGCCAAAGCCTTGAGGCAGAGTTCAGACTTCCCAGGGCCTCTTAGGGTTCATGGCTCAATGTGGGAGAGGGTTTAGGGTTTAGGGTTTAGGGTTTAGGGTTTAGGGTTTAGGGTTTAGGGTTTAGGGTAGTTGCTCTAAAAAAAGGGAAGTTTTGCCAACAGACTAATCCCTTCCCCCTAATACTAAATCCCTCCCGCCCGCCCTCCCTAATTCTGCAAGTCGCCTGGGCCCGAAAAAATGTTTTCAATTAGGGGGGGGGGTTCTAAATCCTAAAACCTGAATTCCGAAAGCTAATAATTAAACCCTCTAAGCCCTGAGCCCTGGATCCTAACCCTGTCAGCCTTCAGTCCTAACCCTGAAACCCTATTGGCTCAACTCAAGGGCGAAGGCCCTGCACCCCTCCCCCCCTAATTCTCAAACAGGTTTAGTCCGGGAAAAATAATGTTTAAAATTAGGCGGGGGGGGGTTTAGTATTAGGGGGAAGGGATTACTGTAGCCCCCCTCCATGTGGTTCATTGACGCTGGGCACGTGCTTGGCACACTTTGCGCCTTCAACGCGAAGCCCAAAGGTTAACACTCGGCCAATCCTCAGCGGGACAGGTCAGGCACACCTGAACCCTGAACCCAAAACTCAGCACTCAGCACCTCTCTGAGCCTCACGTGGTCACGTCTCTACAGGATGTCTCCTATTTGGTGGTTCCCTGCGCACGTAGCGCCTAAGCCCTCACCCACAACTTCAGCGACACTCGGAACCACTGAAGCAACGACCCTCTCAGGGCAGTCACATGGTCCTTTCACGTGGGCCCTCCATTGATTGGGGGAACCCGCATATACCCCTTGATATATACCCTATGAAACCCCAGGGCCCAAACCCTAAACCCTAAACCCTAACCCCTAAAAAGGGACCATATTCAGGGGGACCGTGTAACTTCCCTTAGAAGTCCTCACCCTAACTGATCAAAACGCCAAGAATCACTCGGTCAGTTCTCTAAATCATGGTCCCTTTTTGGGGGTTGCCCTACAAGCGAGGGGGCCGCCTTGTAAGAAGGAGCGCCCCCAAAGGGACCATCTTTCTAGAGAAGTGGCCATATATGCTCCCTTGTTGTCCTAAACCCTAAAGCGTAAACCCTAAACCCTAAGCCCTAATCAAATCCCCAAATCACATACTAAGTCTCAAAAGCTGACCTCATGGTCAGGTATGCCTCGTCGCGTCTCTCTGAGTTGGGTGGGAAACCTCCACCCAGTCAGGCCTGGATTTAGGGTTTCGGGTTTAGGGATTAGGGATTAGGGTTTAGGGTTTAGGTTTAGGGTTTCGGGTTTAGGGTCCAGTCAGGCCAGGTGCCATAGCCCAGGTCCCAGCACGAACCTGCTTCCCGAATTCCACCGCCACAAAAGACCGAGCCGAGGGCCCCCTTCAGCCCTCAAGCGCATTTCATCACAAGCTTGCGAAGTTTATGGGTTGAGGGCTTTGGGGTGTAAGGTTGAGGGTTTAAGAACCCTAAGCCCTCACCCTAAACTCCAAGTCCTAGGATTTTGTGCCACGAGCCCAATCGACATGAGACAAACACTTCGCAGCCCTCAAGCCCTCCAAAAACTCACCCAAGAACCTTGCAACAACCCTCACTTGACCCCTTGCTTGAACACCAAAACCCGAACCCTCCAGCCCTTACACCAAACTCCGAAGTCCCCTCTTTTAAACTTCTAGGGGTATGCTAAAAAAAAACTCTAAACAAAAAATCCCTAAACCCTTACAAACCCTAAACCCTAAGCCCTAAACCCTAAACCCGAAACCCCTCAGGGGAATCTGAGAGCAGGTCCCAGCAGCACCCTGGCTCACCTCCCCGCAAGCAACTGCGGACGACTGCCAGGCAGGATCCTCTGCAGTATAAACTTAGAAGGGTTTAGGGTTTAGGGTTTAGGGCTTAGGGTTTAGGGCTTAGGGCTTAGGGTTTAGGGTGTAGGGGCTTGAGGGTTTAGGGTTTAGAAGGCATCTATTCGGGGTTCTTATTCGCTATCCAGGGGCTACGTTCAGGTACAAGGGTAACAGATAAAGAGGCCACCTGCCCTTACAAGGTCCTACTTCCTTGTAAGCCTTATGTCTGCTCCCACAATGGCAAGTAAACAAAAGCTGCAAAAGTATGTGCATAGTATATGTATAGGTATGTATACATCTATACATGTATATACATATATATGTATACAATATATATATATATGTACATATACACACAAATATAATTTATATTTATCTATACATACATATAGTAGAGAGAGGGAGTTCAGGGATCTGAAGCAAGGGTGGGGGGGGGTATGATGTGCAAGCGTTGGCTGTTGTGGACATTGTGAACACCCTATAGCTGCTGGGCCCCTTAGACCCTAAACCCCAAACCCTAAACCCCAAACCCTAGACCCTAGATCCTAAACCCTAAACCCTAAACCCTAGACCCTGAACCCTAAACCCTAAACCCTAAGTGCCCTAAACCCCCTACCGCTGGGAAGGCCGCTGCGGCGGAATGCCGGCAGATGCTTGCCAGGCCATGGCCCGGACTTGGATGAATTTGGGGGGGGTATAGTTTCGGGTTTAGAGTTTAGGGTTTCGGGTTTAGGGTTTTAGGGGTTTGGGGTTCAGGGGTTTGGGGTTGTGGGTTTGGGGCTTCATCGTAAGCTTCCGAGGGGTTTGGAGATTTTGGGGGGTTTTATAGGCTTCTACATAGGAAGCCCGGGGTGGCCCTCTTTTTTGATAGGGGTTTAGGGGGTTTGTAGGGGGTTTGTAGGGGGTTAGTAGGGGGTTTGTAGGGGGTTTGTAGGGGTTTGGGGTTTGTTTCTTTTATGAGGCTGACTGACACCAACAGGGTACACAAAGTCGAATCTGGTGGCAGGGCTACCTGGGTTAAGGCGTTGAAAGGCCCCTAAACCCGAACCCTAAGCCCTAAACTGTTTGCTTCTTTCTCTTTTTTTGCCCGGGGGTGGAGAGGGGGGCTAGGTGTGTGTAGTAAAACCCCACACCGCGAACCCCAAACCCAAACCATGTGGTCACTTAAAGGTCACTTAAAGCTCTCGTTTTCCGATTTCGAGGGCAGGGTCTATCAGAGTCTGCTTTGGGGGGTGGGGGGTATACCCTATATTTGGGGGGCTATGGCTAGAACCTACCACCCATAACGGCACAACACGATCAACATGATGGGGATGAAGCGCGTCGCGTCAACAAGTGAAGTGCAAACCGCCAGCCAGTCACCCAACACCCCTAAAGCGAAACTTCCCGGATGAGTCGGAGGTTCAAACAGGTCTGGAGCACCATGTACCTGGATGACGCCCCTCACAGCTGGAAGTCCCGTCTGGAGGAGTGGTCGTGGGTTTTTGGCCGGGTGTAGAGGGTTGAAGGGGGTTGTCAGGGATTTGGGTTCCGGTGGCTTAGTGCACTGCGCAGGGAGTGGAAAAAAATCCAAAATGTCTGGTTCGAGGTCTTTGGCATGACGCTGCCAACTCTCACCCTGGCATCTTCAGTCTTGAGGGTGGACATGGGGGGGGGGGGGGGACTCTAAGCTCGAGAAATCAGAGGTTTGGGGCTTCTTGCAAGTCCTGAACCCTGAGATGCGACTCAACTTGGCTATAGCCAACCCCCTGCCAGGGAGACAGTAATGGTGGTGACGATGAAAATGGCGATGATGGCGATGAGGAAATAGAACCTGAAGATGAAGAAGAAGATGATGATGAAGAAAGAGGTCCTGATCATGAAGACGCTGATGAAGGATGATTGCGATTATGATGACGTTGGTGGCGATGGTATAGGAATAGCATTATACTGGCCACTCACTCGCAGACATACACCCCACCGTCAAAGCCCACTCCTTCGACTACCCATCCGCCCACGCATGCATGCGCTCATTCTCCAAAGCACTCTGTGAGATGTCTGGTGCCTCGTTTCGGCAGTCTTCTCTTACTTGCTTACCTAGGAAGCCTTGAACCCCCCCCCCCACACCCCTCTCTATACGGTCTATAGGGTTTAGGGTCTATAGGGTTTGGGGTTTAGGGTTTAGGGTTCGGGGTTTAGGGTTTAGGGAGAGTTCCTTGGCAGGAAACCATTTCCCTGAGCTTCACGAACGGAAAGTCTCTGACAGAGTTCTTCCTCGACGGCTCCTACCACCTTCGCACAGACTTAGAGGCATCAGGTTTGCTTTTCTTGGACCCAAACCCTAAACCCTAAACCCTAGATTCCTAGAACCCTAGAACCCTGGAACCCTAGAAACTGTCTGAGCTTGGCTGTCTGCATCTCCAGGTAGGGCTGCATTCAGCCCTCTTCGCCCATATGTTGATGTCATCAAAAAGGGGGTCCGAAAGTGACCCCCTACCTTGAAGAATTCTAAGCCCTAAACCCTAAACCCTAAACCGTTGAGGATTGAGGGGTGGCCTGTGGAGGGAGAAGAGCAGCGCTTTCTTCTGGTGTTTTGTCATCAGCTCCGAGGATCAATTTTAAAGTGTCCTAAACCCTATAAACCCCAAACCCTAATTAAAGCCTAAACCCTAAACCTTAAACCCTAAACCCTAAACCCTAAACTCTAAACCCTAAACCCTTTGCCAGCAGTTTCAGGGTCTGGGTAGCCATAATTAGGGAGTATCCCGGCTGCCTTGACCCTAAATCCTAAACCCTAAACCCTAAACCCTAAATCCTAAACCCTAAACCTCGACCCCAAGTTCACATCCGATTCCTAAGCCCTAGGATCCCTAAACCCCAAAGCCCCCGCGGCCCGTAGCTGGAACCCCCCCCATAAGGGGCCAAGACCCCAAGCAATAAGGCCTTCGGGCCCCAAAACAGATGAAAGGCCTGAAATCGTGTGTTTTAGGGTTTAGGGGTTTGAGGTTTAGGGTTTAGGGTCTAGGGTTTAGGGTTTAGGGTTTAGTGTCTTGGGCCCTTCGGAAATCCCAAAACCCTGATCCCCCCCCCCCGCAAACGTTGTGCTTGCGAGGCGAACCAGGAGGATGCACTGATAGCTGCCTTCGACGAGGCCAGGCTTGTAAGGGTTTAGGGTTTAGGGTTTAAGGACCCTTAAAATGGTCCCAGCATGTGAGGGGTACATGAAGGGGGACCCTATAAGGGCCCATACCAAGGGACCATGAAACTACGCACAGAAGCCCTGTGGTGCCCTCTTGCCCATTTTTTGGGGTCGAGGTTCCCTTATAAGTGCTAGAATATGGTTGTTGGGCTACCACGGGGCTCTTCATGCATGATAGTAGGGTCCTTATCCTTACCATCCAGGGTGCCGAAGGTCGAGAGTTTAGACCTAACGCCCTGATCCCCCTGAGGGGAGTCTAGGAGGATTTAGGGTTTGATTAGAGCTCAGCATTCACAAGAAACAAAGAAAATAAATGCACTCTGTATAAATAAAGAAATAAATAAATAAACACATATAGAAGTAAAGTCATGAGCTGCAGGCACGAGGGGCTGAGGCCATCTCAAGCCCGGCTAGGAGGTTTAGGGTCTAGCGCTTTACTAAACGATCGACTCATGGGTTCCCCGTACTACCCCCCTCTACTTGGAGGGGTTTAGGGTTTAGGGTTTAGGGTTTAGGGTTTAGGGTTTAGTTATAAGTCAACTATTGACCTACTTAGGGGACTTAGGGGGCTTATAAGTACAGTTATGATTAGCGTTGTACGTACCCTAAACCTCCAAGTATGCTACCCCCCCTAGGTTCCCGCCATATTGAAGGCTATTGAGGGTTCAATAAGCCTAGTTAAGGTTATCTAAGGGGGAACCTAGGGGGGGTAGTGTAGAGGCGGTAGTAGGGAAACCCGGGAAACCCATGATATACCCGCTACATGTCCCACAGGCTCATCCTCCCCAAGCTGCCTAGACCGCCAAAAATCCTTCAAGTCCCTAAACTCGTCCGACAGTATTTGCGTCATATGTCTTTCAAAAAGCCGGACATGTGAATGCTCACCCTAAACCCTAAACCCTAAACCCTAAACCCTAAACCCTAAACCCTAAACCCTAAACCCTAAACCCTAAACCCTAAACCCTAAACCCTAAACCCTAAACCCTAAACCAGGCCAGCCGGAATGCGGCGTCCCTGATTGGCGTCTGCTCCGCTGCAGAGGCCGGCGGCATGGAGCACCCTAATCTAAGCCCCCAAGCCCTGCTCTCAGCCAGCACCCCCCCAACTACCCATTACAACCATAATAGTAGGGGTTTAGGGTTTATGGTTTAGGGTTTAGGGTTAGGGTATATAAGTCCCCTTTGTTAAAAGGTAGTTGGGGGATGCCGGAGCATGCTAGGGTTCAGAGCTTGGTGTAGTGAGAAGTAGGCGCGCGCGAGGAAGGAGCCCTGCATTTGAGGACGTTTGTGGGATTGTTTCAGTTTCGGATTCTAGGGTTTCGGTCGCCATCTCACATCAAGGTCGAACACGAGAAGGGAGATACCGTCATGGGAAGTGTCACATCGTTGCATAGTATCGACTCTGTAGCTCGTCTAGCACTGTAGGCTTGCACTCCTTGCATTTGTCCACATGGCCTTCCGGAGAAGTTGCGCGTTGCTGGCACCGCGGTGGCTGTACCGTGGTGTCAAGGCAGAGACGCGCGCCCGCACGGAGTCCACGGTTAGCAATGTCAGCGAGATTGTCAAGGAGATTCTGCAGGATGTCCGACACGGTGGAGGCGCCTCACTGGACAAGTACTGTATGAAGTTTGACCGCGTCCCGCACCAGCAGCTGCAAGAACGTGACATTGAGCAGTGTCTGGGCCAGTGCACCAAGACACAGTTAGAGGCTTGGTAGGCCAGTGGTACCCTTTACCCTATTTTTAGTTCTGGGTCCCCTTATAAAGTATTTTAACCCCAAGAAGGGTGCCCTTATGGTAGGAGGGTCACTGGGCTGCCAAGGAGGACATCAAGTATGCACAGGGCAACATACGCAAGTTCGCAGAGCTTCAGCGCGAAGCCCTGAAGGATCTCGAGGTCGAAACGAGACCAGGGGTCGTTCTCGGCCACAAGCACATTCCCATTCAAAACGTCGGCTGCTATGTGCCAGGTGGCAAATTCCCCCTTATCGCCTCCGCTCACATGTCCGTGCTCACAGCAAAGGTTGCAGGATGCGACCGTGTCGTCGCATGCACAGCTCCCATGCCCGGTGGTGAGCCAGGTCGTCTGCCGCACATCACGATTGCCGCAATGCACTTGGCAGGCGCCGACGAGATCTACCTCATGGGCGGTGCGCAGGCCATCGCCGCCATGGCCTACGGCACAGAAAGCATCAAGCCAGTGGACTTCATTGCGGGACCTGGCAACGCATTCGTGGCCGAGGCGAAGAAGCAGGTCTTCGGCCAGGTGGGCATCGACCTACTAGCAGGTCCCACCGAGACGCTGCTCCTGTGCGATGACTCCGTGGATGCAGAGATCACTACAGCAGATCTCCTCGGTCAGGCTGAGCATGGCTACAACTCACCCGTGATTCTCGTGACCACATCGGAGAAGTTGGCTAAGGAGACCCTCGCTCGTGTGCAGGAGGAGCTCAAGATTCTGCCAACGAAAGAGACCGCGGAGGTCTCTTGGCGGGACTACGGCGAGGTGATTGTCGTGGACAGTGACGAGGAGATGCTTGAAGTGGCTGAAGAGATTGCAGGTGAGCATGTGCAGGTGGGGGTTTTACGCAATTGGGGGGCTGCCCTTTTTGGGTCCTTATTAAAGTAAGGGAATCCTACTATTTGGGGTTTACTTTAGGGGTTCCCTATTTTCGAAAAAAGCCCAGGTCATGCATCGCGATTGGGGTTTCTTTGGGAAGAATCTCCGCAACTATGGTGCCCTCTTCCTAGGCGTGGAGACCAACGTGTGTTATGGCGACAAGGCCATCGGCACCAACCACACGCTGCCAACCCAAACCGCAGGCCGATACACTGGAGGTTTGTGGGTGGGCAAGTTCATCAAGACGCACACTTACCAACATGTCTCCCAGGAGGCTTCAGTTGAGATTGGTGAGTATTGCTCAAGGCTTTCTGGTTATGAGAACTTTGCCGGCCACAAGGAGCAGGCAGATGTACGCCTCAGGCGGTGGAAGCCGGGCTATGACACCAAGTATTACACAGGGGCACAGAATCAGACCCTCAGTCGCCCATCATCGGCATAGGTGAGATTGCCACACCGGTTTAGGGTTTAGGGTTTAGGGTTTAGGGCTTCGAATAGGGGCCTTCTGCGTTTGCGCGCAGCCCACAGAAGTCGGAGCGAAGCGCCCGTCTTTGGAGGAACGGTTGCACTTGTGCCAGGCATGGCCCCCTGCGTAATATAGGGGTCGGTGTAAGTACTACTAGTAGTTTGGGCCCTATTAGAACTCTACTATAATGCCCCCCCCAAGACCTTATTCCAACTACTCAGGCCCCTATATTATTTGCGTTTCTCAGCTGAGCTGAGAGGAGCTGCAGAGACAATTGGTCACTCAGTTCCCCCTGAGGTGAGCATCGCTTGATAAACGTATGTCGGGCCCCTCTAGGGTTTAGGGTTTATGAGCGGTTCTGCGTTTAGGGTTTACGGTGTAGGGTTTAGGGTTTAGAGCCAGGGAGGGATGTGAGGAATACTGTGGGGATGTTCCCTCATCAGGTTTGTGGGTTTCGGGTTCAGCAGGTTAGTGAGGGTCTCCTGCCCTAAACCCTAGACCCTAAACCCTAAACCCTATAGTTCCCAGCCTCGAACGGAGCTCCCAAAAAGAGAAAGAACGCAGATAGCAAAGACCAGGTATGGAGCGAATAAGCCTCGGTAATCAGCCCTTCCTGTCCTAACAGCCTCTACTTTACGTAGAGTTGGGCTCACTGAAACACTGAAACCTCAGCCCTAAACTCAATCTTAATCCTTCAGAGTTCAGGGTTGAAGGTTCTCTAAATCCGAAACCCTAAACCCCAAACCCTTAACCCTGAACCCACAACCCTTAACCCTGAACCCTAAACCTCTGGGTTGCCGCACCTGCCCACTCTCTGCAGAGCGCTGCAACCCTTGCGGAGCTCGTGGCCTCGGCAGAACCGAAGGCCCCGGTGGGGGCGATGGGGGGAAGGTCTGCTGGAGAGGTGCAAGTGCAAGAGGGTCTAGGGTTGAGGGTTTAGGGGTTTAGGGTTTAGGGGTTTAGGGTTTGGGGGCTTAGGGGTTTAGGGGCTTAGGGGTTTAGGGCGTAGGGTGCAGGCTAGGTCCTAAGACCCAGAGCGTGTCTAGCTTTCCCTTTTCAATTGGGGCTGGTTCCCTCATCAGCCCCCCTTTAAGCAATGGGACCACGGTCTCGACCAACAGGCCATACCTTTTGGGGTTCAAGCTTGGCAGCCCAGGAGTGCCCTTGTCCCCTTTTGTTGGTTCAAGGTTCCCTTATAAAATAGCCCTAAACCCTAAACCCTAAACCCTAAGCCCTAAACCCTAAAGCCTAAACCCTAAACCCTAAACCCTTACTAGAACCAAGAATCTCTTAGACATCCCTCAGGGTCCATGTACCGATTAATTGGGCCGTAAAGTGCCTTAAAGTACTTCCTGTACAGGGACTTTGGGGCCCAAGTATATAATAGTAAGGTGCATGGACACCTTAGGGCTCTAGGCTCAACAGCTGCGCCAGGAGCCTTATATTCCAGCATGGAGTTTTTTGGCAAAAGCAGCTCGAAAAGTTCTCAGAGCCCCTAAACCCTAAACCCATAGGGTCCCTTAACCCTAAACCCTAAACCCTAAACCCCAAACCCTAAACCCTAAACCCCGAACCCACACCAAACCTTAAACCCTAGAGCAATCCAGGGGCGAATTCGGAAGTTTGAGTCGAGGGAGAGAGTTGGTTGTCGCTGTTGCAGGGACCTCGGTGCGGGTGCACTGCGTCCCGTGTCACGGGCATCCAGCACTGGCCACGTTGATGGATATAGGGTTTCGGGTTTAGGGTTTAGGGTTATAGGGTTTAGGGTTTAGGGTTTGTTTAGGGTTTAGGGTTTAGGGTTTAGGGTTTAGGGGTAAGCCGTATGGTTCCATGATATGTTTTTCAAGGGCACAGGGGCCTAGGTCTTGGGGTGTGTAGGGTCTGTTCAGAGTTAGGGGGGGGTTGAGTTCAGAGTTCGGGGGAGTTGTGTGGTTCTTGGGTGTATTGGTTCTTCACTCCTCCCACCCGATCAGGGCCGACACGGCCGCACAAGATGCCTGTCCCAAAGCTTCCTTGTCTCGCCCCCCAAAACCTAAGTAGCTGGGTAAGTACACATTACACTTTTTGGGATACTAGAGTCCCCTAGAGAACTGAAAGTGTGCACTTTTTTTTTTTTTTTGGGGGGGGGGGGTTTATGAACTCAGCAACTCAGCAACTAAGAAACAGCACAACAGCCATGGATCCTTAAAGCCCTATAAACCCCAAACCCGAAACCCCAAACCCCAACCCTAAACCGTAAACCCAGACCGCAACCCTGGCCCCACCCTGCAAGCTGAAAGACTGAGCCCCTACACCCCAAACCCTCTACAGGTCTCCCCAAGCTCGTGTCGAAACAGGGTTGCATTCCTGTTATGGGTGGATGTATTGACAGGTTCCTTTTAAATATTGGTGAGTGCATATTTGGGGTGTCCTTCTTTTGGGTACGGTTGTGAGAACGACCTCACTTCACGGCACTGCTGCAATGAGGCTCATGGCTCCTTTTGCAGGGCGTGCGGCTTGGCAGAAAGGTTTCGCGAAGGCCTGGGGAGGGGGTGGGGGGGGGGGGGGCGGACTGCAGAGGTTGGGTGCAAGGTTTGGGGTTTGGGGCTTTCGAGGGGGTGGGGGGGGGTCAGGGTTTAGGGTTTAGGATGTAGGGTGTAGGGTGTAGGGTGGTGGGGGGAGGTGGGGGTGGGGCAGCACTGGGAGCTTGATGCGCCAGCCCGGAAGGTTCAGGGTACAAGAACGACGTTGGGTTTTGGATCGAGAGCTTGGCGTTGGTTGAATAGATGCTACCCGGGCAATCTTAAACCTGTGATGACAGCCCTCAACGCTACATGCCACCCCCCCACGGCCGAAGCCCCCTCCCCACCTTCCGCAACTACGCCTGCTTGAGCTGGACAGGGCAAGTCCTTCGCGCTTCGCATCTCAACAGCTCTTCTGCTGACTTCGCTGATGCTGGCCGCCCTCCTTCTTTAGACCCTGACTTAGCGACCGTTCGGAATATCCCCTCCCTACTTGTCGTTTAGACAAAGGCGCACTGCAACAAATGAGCTCGGTTGTGGCAGCTGCTGCTAAAAAGCATCCTAAGGGGTTTAGGGGTTGCATCGCTGGGGTGGACACGGAGGACCTTCATGTTCATGTGGAGATCCACCCGCTCAGATGAAAGAAACCGGAAGGACCTCGACTGAGCCACTCTGCTTCCTCTACGCTTTGCACTAGACCCCCCAGAGACTCCAAAACCCCCTAAATTAAGGAGTATACCTTAAATTATAATTGCAACCCTAATGTGATTTAAGATATCTTCCTTAATTAAGGGGTTTTGGAGTCTCTGACACTAAAACCCTGATAGCCGGAAGCCCGAAACCCGCAAACCCCGACCTGCTGAACTTGGTGCCCTGACAGCCCAGGAGTACATTCCGGACAATTCGTTCTGGCCCAACAAAGCTGGTCTTTGGACACTGTTCACCGTGGCGATCATCACCTTTCCTGTGCAGGGGGTGGCATGGCGTAAGAAGTTTCAGCCGTCTCGTGGGTTCTCCACCCGCCTTCCTCTTCACATGAAAGATAGCCTGGTCCGACTGTCACCCGCAGCAGCCGTATCTAGCACCCACAATAAATCCACTGCGAACCCTAAACCTCAAAGCCTGAAACACTACAAGCCGTATCAGTTAGGGCCTCACTTGGAGGTTCAGGGCACTTAGTAACCCAATTATGACTGTACTAAAAAACCCAATTATATCCCTATTTGGGTACTTCAGGGGCTTATAAGTGGGTTTAGTGGGTTACTAAGTACCCTCAACCTCCAAGCACAGTTCATCCATGGCCAAAAGAACCCTAAACCGCGCAAAATCGGGTCTCCTTCCCCGTATGGAGCCGCAAAGCCTTTCGAGGTTCATTTGGGCCCTGAACCTTAATTAAACCCTTTAGGCCCTAAAACAAGTAGGGCCTCCTAGCTTCATCAAAAAACCCTAAACCCTAAAACCTAAACCCTAAACCCTAAACCGGTTTACGAGACAGCCCAAGAGGCTACGCTGCTGCGCGGCTTGCGCCGAGGTGCCGTGGGACTTCTTGAGAAGGCTTCGGGTCAAGCGTTGAAAAGGGCTTGCAAGGGCTTTCAGGGGTTTTAGGGTTAGGGTTTAGGGTTTAGGGTTTAGGGTTTAGGGTTTAGGGTTTAGGGTTTAGGGTTTAGGGTTTAGGGTTTAGGGTTTAGGGTTTAGGGTTTAGGGTTTACCTGGGCTTGTGAGGGTTCGAAAGGGTGTATAGGGGTAGGTGCATTCGTGCATCCATGCCCAAGCAGTTCTCGAGGTGGCCTGCTTCTTCAGCCACTAGATCTCTGGTTCTTCGTAGGGAATGAGGGAATGAGGTACCCTATAGAATCCCTTAAAGGGTATATGTAGGGCCCTCATTCCCTACTAAGAACCAGGGGGGAACGCAAGTAGCATGAAGGAAGCACACATTTCGAGGCGCACGGCGGAGAGCGCAGGTCGATCTTGGAGCCCAACCCCTCAACTTCTGAACCCTAGACTCACCCTTAACCCTACACCCTCTAGGACCCGGAGTGGGCCCCTTTTTTTCTACTTTTTTGGGGTTGGGGTTCCCGTAGAATCCCCTTTGAAACCAAAAAGGATACCCTTTTTATTCCTAGGATACTCCCGGGTCTAGCCCTTATCCCTAAGCTCAACCTTGTGGCCTGTGTTGGACAAGCCCTGCGCCATCGCGAGCTCATGAGTATCGGGAATGCTTGGAAGCCCTAAGCCCCCCATCCCCTCAACCCTGAACCCTAAACCCTAATCGCCCTAAGGCCTCAACCCTAAACCCTCCACGCTGAGCCCTAGACCCTGAACCCCAGCCCTAAACCCTAAACCCCTAAACCCTAAACCCTAAACCCTAAACCCTAAACCCTAAACCCCTAAACCCTAAACCCTAAACCCTAAACCCTAAACCCTAAACCCTAAACCCTAAACCTCAACCATATACCCTAAAGGTCTGGGTACCAT